CACCGCCACTGGGGCCTTAGGTGGGCACCCAAACAGGCAAACCGCCTGAGACAGCCCCACAATCTGGGCGCGAACCCTGGAGTGTCCTGTGACCCCCGCCGCCCCCTCCTTGGGAGTGCTGAAACCAGCGCCGCGCCTGAGACCTCCTCAGAAACGGCTCCTAAAGCAAGAGATGTTGGGCACCAGAACAGGCAAACCGCCTGAGACATCCCCACAATCTGGGCGCGAATCCTGGAGTGTCCTGGCCCCTGCCGCCCCCCTGTGGGAGTGCTGAAACCAGCGCCTCGCTTGAGACCTCCTCAGAAACGGCTCCGAAAACAAGAGATGTTGGGCACCGAAACAGGCAAACCGCCTGAGACGTCCCCGCAATCTGGGCGCGAATCCTGGAGTGTCCCCACCGCTGGCGCCCCCCCTTTGGAATTCTGAAACCAGCGCCTCGCGTGAGACATCCTCAGAAACTGCTCCGAAAGCAAGAGATGTTGGGCACCGAAACAGGCAAACCGCTTGAGACATCGCCACAATCTGGGCGCAAATCCTGGAGTGTCCTGAACCCTGCCGCCCCCCCTTTGGAGTGCTGAAACCAGCGCCTCGCCTGAGGCATCCTCAGAAACTGCTCCCAAAGCAAGAGATGCTGGACACCGAAACCGGCCCGCCGCCTGAGACATCCCCACAATTTGAGCGCGAACTTTGGAGTGTCCCCACCGCTGGCGCCCCCCCCTTGGGAGTGCTGAAACCAGCGCCTCGCGTGAGACATCCTCACAACGTGTGTGTGAGTGAGCGCGGAAGTGGTGTGACTGACTCTGAGTGAGGGAGAACGAATCAGAGTATGAGTGAGTCTTGGTGCGAGTGAGTCTGAGTGTGAGCGAGTCTGGGTGCGAAACATCTTCACAACGTGCGTTTGAGTCTGAGCGCGGAGGTGGTGTGGCTGAGTCTGAGTGAGGAAGAGCGAGGCAGAGTATGAGTGAGTCTTAGTGTGAGTCAGTCTGCATATGAGTGGTCCAGAGCATGAGAAATCTGAGTATCAGGAATCTAAGAGCGAGTGCATTTGAGTATGAGTGAATCTGAATATGAGTGAGTCTACATGTGGGTGAGTCAGAGGATGGTGACCTGAGGGTGGGAGGTGTGTTCTCGTTCTCAGCGCGGTCAAAGTAATAACAAGAACGCCATCCTTAGGACACGGGGGGACAACAACAACAACAACAGCAGCAGCAGCAACAACAACCACAACCACAACAACAACAACAATAAGTTGAAGACTGTTCGCCTTTACTGGCACGCGTGTCTTGAATTCTGTATACCCCAACCCCCGATACCCGCCCACTTCGTCTTCGATTGCACCCCCTTTCGGGAAGAATACCTTCCTTGTCGGCAACTGACTGAAGTACGAGAAACTTTTGCGCGAGAGCGCCGTTCCTGAGTTCGGGGGCCTCTCTGGCCAGGAGCTCTCGGAATACAGATGGAGAAATATCGAACGGGAACCCTTGTCGCCGTGTCTGGGTCTCCACCAACTTGCTCGAATTCGGAGAAAGTCTCGAGCGAGAGCGCCACTCTTGAGTTCAGGGGCCTCTCTGGCAAGGGCGTTTGCGATTATATCTTGAGCATGTATCGCTCGAGAGCCCTTGTCGTCAAAATTGGGCCTCCACCAATTTGACTGAATCGCAAGAAAATTTCAACCGAGAGCGCCGTTCCTGAGTTCGGGGGCGTTCCTGGCCAGCGGCTCTCGGAGTACATCGTGAAGAAGTATCGAGCAGGAGCCCTTGTCGTCGTAGCCAGGCCTCCGCCAACTTGAGTGACTTGCGAAGAAGTCTCGAGCGAGAGCGCCGTTCCTGAGTTCGGGGGCCTCTCTGGCCAGGGTGTCTGGGGGTAAATTGTGAGGAAATATCGAGCGGGAGCCGTTGTCGTCGCAGCTGGGCCTCCAAGGGCCCACATTTACACTCAAGCCACAATTACACATTTACATTCGTTTCCAAAGAAAATGTAGCACCCGCGTCGAGGCGAGAACGCGCGGAACCGTTTCCGGAGATCCACAATAGATGTTCATTCAACAACAACAACAACAACAACAACAACAACAACAACAACAACAACAACAACCACAACCACAACCACAACCACAACCACAACCACGACGACGACGACGACGACAACAACAACAATACTAACAACAACAACAACAACAACAACAACAACAACAACATCAACAACAACAGCAGCAGCAGTAGCAACAACAACAATAAGTTTACCCTCATGGGCGATGTTTCTACACGAAGCATGCGACCATCATGATAACCATCCCCATCATGGGGGACTCTTCTTCTATAGCAGGGTCCGTTATTCCCATCCCCGGATCTCCCGCACAATGAGGTATTGCAATCACCTCCTCCGCGGAATTTCAACATATCCCGCCTCGAAAACGCATACCCGCGCCTTGCTGCGCCGATGCGAGACTGCCAGTGGAGCCCCAGCCAAGAGTAAAGCACAAGGCAGTATCGAGCGACAGGATTGCCTTGGTGGGGATGGAGGCTGTCGGCGGCGAGGCAAAGACTTGGCCCTGAATAGAAAGGGAGGAAATCTCGAGCAGGGCCGCTGTTGTTGCTGGGAGCGGCGCCAAGGCTGAAGAGGGTAGGGCGCTAGTCCAGCGTAAAACAAAGCGAAGTCTCGAGCGGGAACGCTGGTTATGTTGGGACGGCGGTTGTCGGCGGCGAGGAGGAACACCGCCTTGAGTAAGAAGGGAGGAAGTCTCGGGCGGGAGCCGTGGTTTTGTCGGGAAGGGGGCTGTCGACGGCGAGGAACAGCACCGTCCTGAGGAAAAAGGGAGGAAGTCTCAAGCGGGAGCGTTGTTGTTGCTGGTTGCGGCGCCGATGAGAGAAAGAGTAGCACGCCAGTCCAAGGTAAAGCGGGAGGAAGTCTCGAGCGGTAGCGCTGGCTTTGTTGGGACGGCGGCTCTCAGCGGCGAACAAGAGCACCGGCCCTGAGTAAAAAATGAGGAGGTCTCGAGCGGGAGCGTTGTTGTCGTTGGGGGGCCGGTTTTGGCGCCCCCCACACCGCTCGAGCGTGAGCCTCATTTTCAATGAAAATGTAGCCGGCGCCGTGGCGAGAGCGCCAGGGCGCCTGGGGGGGTCCAACAATGATATTCTTAGTAATGAACATTTAACAACAACAACAACAACAACAACAACAACAACAACAACAACAACAACAACAGCAACAACAAGCACAGCAGTAACAACAACAGCAACAGCAACAACAACAAGAACATCAAAAACATCAAACACAACAACAGCAAAACAAAATAAACAACGCAATCAACAAGAACAGCTACAACTAAAATTCGCCTGACGAAGGACCCAACCATATGCAGCCGCGAGTGCCGCATTGTGGGTACCGGTTTCGGTGGAGCTCCCTGTGAGGCCACGAAACGTGCGAAGGGGCGCCGAAATCGGTGGCGCGGACGCATGTGGACACCGCCACTAGAGCCTTCGGTGGAGTTCCCTATGGGGCCACGAAGCGCTGTCATGGGTGGGGGAGATTCATGCGAACTGCGCCATTGGGACCTTCGTTGGAGCTTCTGATGGGGCCACGAAACGCTGTCATGGGTGGGGAAGACGCATGCGAACTGCGCCACTGCCACCTTCGGTGGAGCTCCTTATGGTACCACGAAACATTGTCTTGGGCGGGGGAGACGCATGCGAACGGTGCCACTGGGGCCTTCGGTGGGGCTGGGGCTCCTTGTAGGGCCACGAAGCGCTGCCCTAGGTGGGGGAGACGCATGCGAACGGTGCTACTGGGGTCTTCGGTGGAGCCCCCTATGGCGCCACGAAGCGCTGTCCTGGGTGGCCTTGACGCATGCGGACCCTGCCACTGGAGCCTTCGGTGGAGCTCCCCATGGGGCCACGAAGCGCTGTCCTGGGTGGCGGTGACGCATGCGGACCCTGCCACTGCAGCCTTCGGTGGAGCTCCCTATGGGGCCACGAAGCGCTGTCCTGGGTGGCACGCGGACCCTGCCACTGGAGCCTCCGGTCCCTATGGTGCAGGAGGAGAGGAGAGGAGGAGGGACGCGGGGCGCTGTCTCTTCAAAACGAGGACCCAACACCAACACCACAGGATGGTTGGGAAAAAACAAACGTAGGAGCGACCCCTTCGCTCTAAGTGGCCTCCGGCGCGCAGTTTTCAGTGGTGGGTGGGGGGCGCGGGGGGGACCAAGCCCGAGCGCGCAGGCAGCCGCTGACACGCATCGCACGCCACGGATCTGCGAGCCGCGCGCGCCAGAGGTCGCTCGTTCTTGCGTGCGGCCAGGAGGAGGGGCGAGTGCCAGCCTGAAACATATGGCGGATTTCGGAAGCCCTGAACCCAAAAACATGTTCAGCTCTTGAGGGCGCATCTTTTACTTCCGCCACCTTCCGCCGCCTTTCCGCCAGCTTCCGCCGTCGGAGGCGGCCTCGTTTTACTTCCGCTGATTTTCCGCCGCCCTTCCGCCGCCTTCCGCGGCGGAAGAGATGACAGCCCTTTCGATCCTCGAAGGCGAGGCCCTCGTCGGAACGCCTCATATCCATGTCCCTGTTGGCATCAACTCGAATTGGCGTCGATCTTGGGAGTTCTCTCCGTTGTTTGAAGACGCATCCCTGAGGTGGACCGGGCTGGTCGATTTTGTAAGGGTACGGATAAGCTCGAGGCTGGTCGGGGGAGGGGGAGGGATCGGGATAGGGATGGGGAGTTCACCGAAGGTAGATCTTGCGTGCAGCCGAGGGTATCCAGGGCAACGCTCGGGCAGGCTAGGCTCAGGAGGGACGCATCGACCCCGCAATCACCCGCTCATCATCGCCGATAGGGGGCCCAATAGCCCGCCTCGCCCAGGAACGTCCGGATCTGCCGGCGATCTATCGGGGGCCCATCGCCAGTCTATCGGCGATGTATCGCCGATTCCAGCTCGGTGCATCCCCCGCTGGGCCAGTGCCCCCCCGATCGCTCCCCCTCGGGAAGAGGAGCGGGGCCGCCCTCAGGCGCAGGTCCTGAACCTCCAGGGCGGTCGCGGCCTGTCCTCGGAGGCCAACCTGCCGGTGAGCTTTGCGGTGAAGAGCTTGTCGTCCGAGGCGCCGCCGGCCGCGAGGGCGCGGGTCAGAGGGTGGAGCCCATCAGAGGCAACGTGAGGGGTGACAGCCTCAGTCGGGGGGGGAGAAGAGTACAGTCAGCGCGCAGAGTGAGGACGCGCGCCTTTTCTAGGGTACCCTTGTGTCCTTGCCTCTGCGACCCGTCCATAGCCGCTTCCGTTGCCCAGCCTCTCAGGGTACCCTGGGGTTTAGGTCGCCCGCCGCCCAACCAATCCCAACTTCGGCATCCAAGCGTCTTGCGTCCTTACCACCCGTCCTTCTTGCACGTTTCCACCGTATCATCTCACCCCGGCAGAACACCCTGATAGCAGCAAAAGGTGAGGAGGCGGGTCGAGGAGCGGGAGGTCGGCCAGTGAAAACGTGCATTCCTGGGCAGTCCTGGGCATTCTCGGGAAAGATGCAGCTGGGACAGGGGTGAGAGCACGGCCATGTGAACTGTTGCGTATGGTTTACAAGGGATCGTGGCCGTCAGGGCCAATCAAGTAGCCAGCACTGAGGCGAGAGCACGATACTTGAATGCATTTCAAGGGAGTCTCAGGCGAAACGGCTGCGGGATTGGGCGATCTCGGGGGGCGGTCTCGGGTTCCCCGTCCACCCTGTGGAGCTCTTGGGCGTTTTTGTTTCGCGACCTTGACTAGCACTCTCCAGCGAAACGCGAATATGGAAAAAGAGGAGCACTGGCACGCTGCGGTCAGGAGGCTGTGTCTTTCTGTTTGTCCAGCGTTTTGATGCATCTTCGGCAGGAGCACGCTGATGGGTTCCCCACGGCGGCGTGACATTGATGCTGCGACTGCCCCCCATTCAGGGAAGAAGGCATCGGCCGCCATCGCCCACTCGTCGCTGATAAAAGCCCGATAGCCCACCCTGCCCAGGAAGGTTCAGTTCCGCTGTCGGCGGCCTATCGCCGATATGTCGGCGATGTATCGCCGATTCCAGCTCGATGTGTCGCCCCTTGAGCTAGTCCCCCCCGCTCGTTCCCCCTCAAGGGAGGGACCCAGACACCTCGGCACGATTGAAATGCAGACACAAAGAATGGATACGAAAACTAGCAGCAGCTCCAGCTCATTGTGAACAGGACTCGCTGTCAGTATCGCCGCGGACGTTGCCCGTTTGAACCAAAAGGTCGCCTGCCCAACAGCGGCCGTGTCGGTTTTGGGCAACATGTCTTGTTGGACATCGTACCCATTTTCTGTCCGCTTCGGGCGTGCTAACAGACATCCAGCGGCAAGAGGAACATCGAGTTGGATGAGCGCTTCGAGGCTCGTGGATCCAGGATTCCGCGCGTTGTTGCTGTGACCTGTTTGGGCAGCCTCTGGGGGCGCCCTCGCCTCCGCAGCTGGGTTTCCCTCCGAGAAAGGCTGGTCGGAAGCCGCCCTGAGAGGGGCGGCCGCGGCTCGCAATTACGGAATGAAGGACCGATGTTTTCGAGCGTCTTAGGCTTTGCTGGGGCCTCTGAGGGGAGCCCTCGTCGCCACGGCTGGATCCGCCCTGGACAATTGGCCAGAGCGAGCATCAGGAAGAGGCGCGAGCCTTCGCGTTTCCTGCTCTTCGCCCCCCCGAGCGCCACCAGCCTTGGGAGGCCAGGCTCGCGCGCACGTGCACAGCGCGTGTCGGTGGCAAAGACGAAGGCCGTCACGAAGAGTGTCACGTCATTCGCGTGGGCGCCAGCTGAAATTCCGTTCGATCTGAATCAAGTTGAAATGGTGCGGTCGGCGGTTCGGGAGAACGCGGCGCTTTCGGCCAGGTCTGGGGCCCGGGAGGGGCCCAGAACCATTGCGTCCCTCATTCTCGCCCCTCCGAACAACGCCGGCTTCGAAAAGTTCTGCCCGCGCGCATGTGTATTGCTGTCTTCCTTCCCCTCCCGCTTGCTGCACATTTCCCCAGTGAGTGGTCCTGCAGGCCACCGAGGAGGGGCTGAGCGATGCCCTGAGCTCCTCCGGGTTCGGCAAGGCGCTGGCCAAGTCCGTCACGAAGGTGGGCGGGGGACATGGCAGCCGAAAGCACCTTGCGCCTCGGGACCTTGCCGCAAGCCTCATTCACCCGCCTCCTGGCGTGGCGGTGCCCCTGGCGAGGAAGTGCCCCGTGCCCTCCCTGCAGGAGCCCCCCCGTACCTCCGCCGTGGAAGTTCGAGGTGGAGGGTAGTCCACTGCCGCCGTCGTCATCATCGCCCCTAGCACCGTGTACTGACTCCTTTTCCTTGGCATTGGGTGCGGTGTCGACACCATTGTCCGAAGTCGGATAAACGACGACGACGAAGAGGAGGAGAAGGAAAATTACCCTGTGACGTACCCAACACAGTTGCATCAAGTGACAAGAGGAGTTGGCCCAAACTTGCCAGGACAATGACTGTGCAGGTGCCGTTCTATGTTGTGCAATCTACATTGGATGCGCCCTCGTGTCACGATTCACAGGACAACAACCGAAGGACGAGGAGCGAGGGCCCAGGCTTAAGGAGGACAGGTGGGCGTGAACGAAGGGCAGGAGAAGGACGCGCGGGGGGCCGACCCGTCAGCGCGGCAGCAGCAGAGGGAAGGTGGCAGGGGGCAGGAGACGACGACGAAAGTGACGGCAGGAGATCGAAGAGTGTTGGTTTGGTCGGTAGCACGCTAAAGATGCAGCGCTGCATGCGCCATGTCGCCGCGGCAATCGACACAATGATTAAACCTGCGTACAGCTTGCGCAAGAAGCGAGCAAGGCCTGGCGCGCTCGCCAGCGTCCCTGCTTCCTTCCTGCACTTTTCAGCGCGGGATCTAAAAACTCGAAGGCGGGGCGCAAGGTCTGCGGGCGGCCCGCGACAGCGCCCCGCTGGACCCCCCAGCAGCATTCGAAAGTGGCGGCGGTATCGCCGATCGAAGCCCTACAGAGATGTTGAGGTTTACTATGAGTCTGCGTGCGACGTCACTCCGCTGGACCCTCCAACAGACTTAAAAAGCGGCGACAGTTTGGCAAATTGCAGCCCCCCCAGGGATGGCGAGGTCTAGTTCGAGTCTGGGTGGGACGTCGGTACGCCGGACCCCCCAACAGCCTTCAAAAGCGGCGACAGTTTCGCAAACCGCAGCCACCCAGGGATGGCGAGGTCTAGTCTGAGTCTGCGTGGGACGTCACTCTGCTGGACCCCCCAGCAGCCTTCGAAACTGGCGACAGCTTCGCAGATCGAAGCCCCCCGAGGACGGCGAGGTCGAATCTGAGTCTGCGTGGGACGTCACTCCGCGGGACCCCCCAGCAGTATTTGAAACTGGCGCCAGTTTCGCAAATCGCAGCCTCCCAGGGATGGCGAGGTCTAATCTGAGCCTGTGTGGGACGTCATTCCGCTGGCCCCCCCAAGCAGCCCTCGAAAGTGGCGACAGTTTCGCAGATCGCAGCCCCCAACCGACCATCCAGGCAGGACGACGAGATAGGAGGCACGGTAGCAGGCAAATAGGAGAGACGAGGGGAGCAGGGAAGGCGGGAAAAGGACGGAGACCCCAGTGCTTCATTCGAAACGAGTACCCAACCCAGGGGGGCTGGGAAACAATATCCTGGCGAATGACCCAGCCATATGCAGTTGTGGGTACCGCAATTGTGAATATCTTCTTCGGTGAAACTTTCTATGGGGCCACGAAGCGCTGCACTGGGTGGGGGGGAACGCATGCGGGCGGTAGCACTGGGACCGTCGGTGGAGTTCCCTATGGGGCCACGAAGCGCTGTAATGGGTGGGTGAAAATGCCAAATTGGATATGCGGGACGCACGCGGGCGGTCCCATTGGGGGTTTCGGTGGAGCTCCCTATCGGGCCACGAAGCGCTGCATTGGGTGGGGGGAACGCATGCGGGCGGTAGCACTGGGGGCTTCGGTGGAGTTCCCCATGGGGCCAAGAAGCGTTGTACTGGGTGGGCGAAAATGCCACATTGGGTGTGTCGGACGCATGCGGGCGGTCCCACTGGGGGGTTCGGTGAAGAAGCGCTGCATTGGGTGGGGGGGAACGCATGCGGGCGGTAGCACTGGGGGCTTCGGTGGAGCTCCCCATGGGGCCACGAAACGCTGTACTGGGTGGGTGAAAATGCCAAATTGGGTTTCCGGGGCGCGTGCGGACGGTCCCACTGGGGGGGTCGGTGGAGCTCCCTATGAGGCCACGAAGAGCTGTACTGGGTGGGTGGAAATCCCAAATGGGGCTTCCGGGACGCATGCGGACGGCCCTACCTGGGGGGTTCGGTGGAGCTTCCTCTTGGGCCACGAAGCGCTGTACTGGGAATGTGAAAATGCCAAATGTGGTTTCCGGGACGCATGCAGAGGGTCCCACGGGGGGGGTCGGTGGAGCTTCCTATGGGGCCACGAAACGTTGTACTGGGTGGGTGAGAATGCCAAACAGCCTTCGAAAGAGGCGACAGTCTCGCAAATCGCAGCCCCCCCCAGGGATGGCGAGGTCTACTTTGGATTTGCAGCGGCTACCCCCTTATGCTGCCCCCCCCCCAGCAGCCCTCGAAAGTGGCGACGGTTTCGGTCGCAGCCCCCCCTGGGATGGCGATGTCTAGTTTGGATTTGCAGCGGCTACCCCCTATGCTGGCCCTCCAAGCAGCCTTCGAAGGTGGCGAGAATCTCGCAAATCGCGGCCCCGCAAGGACGGCGATGTCTAATTTGGGTCTGCGGCGGCTACCACCCACTATGCTGCCCCCCAAGCAGACTTCGAACGTGGCGATAGTTTCGCAAATCGCAGCCCCCCAGGGATGGCGAGGTCTAGTTTGGGTCTGCGGCTGCTACCCAGTTTGCTGTCCCCCCCAGCAGCCTTCGAAAGTGGCGACAATCTCTCAAATCGGAGCCCCCCAGGGATGGCGAGGTCTAATTTGGGTCTGCGGCGGCTACCACCCACAATATGCTGCCCCCCAAGCAGCCCTCGAACGTGGCGACAGTTTCGCAAATCGCAGCCCCCCAGGGATGGCGAGGTCTAATTTGGGTCTGCGGCTGCTACCCAGTTTGTTGTCCCCCAAGCAGCCCTCGAAAGTGGCGACGGTTTCGCAGATCGCAGCCCCCCAGGGATGGCGATGTCTAATTTGGATCTGCGGCGGCTACCCACTATGCTGGCCCCCCCAAGCATCCCTCGAAAGTGGCGACGGTTTCGCAAATCGCACCCCCTCAGGGATGACGAGGTCTAATTTGGGTCTGCGGCGGCTGCCCACTATGCTGCGCCCCCCCGACAGCACTCGAAAGTGGTTACAGTTTCACAATCGCACCCCCCCAGGGATGGCGTGGTCGAATTTGGGTCTGCGGCGGCTACCCAGTATGCTGTGATCCCCAGCCCTCGAAAGTGGCGACGGTTTCGCAAATCGCAGCCTCCCGCCCCAGGGATGGCGAGGTCTAATTTGAGTCTGCGGCGGCTACCCACTATGCTGTCCCCCCCAGCAGCCCTCGAAAGTGGCGACGGGTTCGCAAATCGCAGCCCGCCAGGGATGGCGAGGTCTAATTTGGGTCTGCGGCGGCTGCCCACTATGCTGGCCCCCCCAAGCAGCCCTCGAAAGTGGCGACGGTTTCGCAAATCGCAGCCTCCAGGGATGGCGAGGTCTAATTTGGGTCTGCGGCGGCTACCCACTATGCTGCCCCCCCCCCAGCAGCCATCGAAAGTGGCGAGAGTTTCGCAAATCGCAGCCCCCCAGGGATGGCGAGGTCCAATTTGGGTCTGCGGCTGCTACCCAGCTTGTTGTCCCCCAAGCAGCCCTCGAAGGTGGCGACAAGCTCTCAAATCGCAGCCCCCCAGGGATGGCGAGGTCTAATTTGGGTCTGCGGCGGCGACCACCCACAATATGCTGCCCCCCAAGCAGCCCTCGAAAGTGGCGACGGTTTCGCAAATCGCACCCCCCAGGGATGACGAGGTCTAATTTGGGTCTGCGGCGGCTACCCACTATGCTGGCCCCCAGCAGCCCTTGAAAGTGGCGACAGTTTCGCAAATCGCAGCCCCCCACGGATGGCGAGGTCTAATTTGGGTCTGCGGCGGCTACCCAGCATGTTGTCCCCCCAGCAACCTTCGAAAGTGGCGACAGTTTCGCAACTCGCAGCCCCCCAGGGATGGCGAGGTCTAATTTGGGTCTGCGGCGGCTACTCAGTATGCTGTCCTCCCCAGCAGCCCTTGAAAGTGGCGACAGTTTCGCAACTCGCAGCCCCCCCCAATGGCGAGGTCTACTTTGGGTCTGCGGCGGCTACCCACTATGCTGGCCCCCAGCAGCCCTCGAAAGTGGCGACAGTTTCGTAAATCGCAGCCCTCCAGGCAAGATGCACACACACACACACTCACAAGAGGTACCACAGGCAATATGCACACACAAGAGGTACGCGCAAGGCAAGAGGAGACCAGAGGAAGGCGGGAGGAGGAGGAGAAGGAGACGCGACCGCAGTGCTCTATTCAAAACGACTACCCAACCAAGAAGGGTTGGGAAATAGGACTCCCCACATCCCCTGGCAGCCATCATGGCCTCTGGTGCCAGTGGCACACGTTTTCGCGCGATGGGGAGCATTTTGGCCCGTCGCCCCCCGCGCGTGCGCGGGCTCGGAGACCGATGCGGGCGGAGGCCCAGCCGCGCGGCTGCCTCGCCCGGGCGCGCCTGCGGGCCTCGACCGCGGGGGCGAGCGCGCCGCTTCCAGGGGCCGCGAGCTGGGGCCGCTGGCCCGTCGGCCTGATGGCGAGCGGGGGGGGGCTGCGCGAGGGGCGGCCTCCGCCGAGGGTCAGCTCGAGCCGCGGCCCCGAACCCGAGCTCCTCGTCTGCGGACGTCGTCCAGGCGCCGTCGGAGCATGGTGGCCCGCCGTGCCGTGTGCTGCTCGCCCAGCGACGTCAGGATGACGGTGATGTTGAAGAAGCTGGAAGTACTTATTCCGAAGGCCTTACGGCCGGCGCCGCCGATCCTGAAGACGGCGACGACGAGGATGTTGAGGAGCAGGTGGCAGATGACGCTAGGGAGCAGGAGCGGTGAGGACAAGGAGGAAGAGGTGCGAGGGGGTGGGGACAGTGGTGGTGGGGACAGTGCTGAGGGCGGTGGCGAGGACGGTGGTGGGACCATGGGACAGAGGTACAGTGGGGACAGTGGTGGGGACAGTGGGGACAGTGGTGGGGACAGTGGGACAGCTCAGTGGGACAACGGCGGGGACAGTGGGGACAGTGGGGACAGTGGGGACAGTGGGGGCACTGGTGGGGACAGTGGGGACGGTGGTGGGAACAGTGGGGACAGTGGTGGTGGGGACAGTGGTGCTGGGGACAGTGGTGCTGGGGACAGTGGTGCTGGGGACAGCAGTGGGGGATATGGTGCGGACGGTGGTGGGGACCGGGAAGTCGTTTGCCGGCGGTGAGTGTGGGGGGGGGGTCGAACAGGTAGTGACCCCCCCCGCGGTTTCTGGAGGGGGAAAGGGAGGGGGGAGGGTTCGAACCGGTAGTAACCCCTCTGGTTTTCTCAAGGGGGAGGGGGGGGGTTCGAACCGGTAGTGACCCCCCCGGTTTTCTGGAGGGGGGTAGTGAACCCCCCCAGTTTTCTAGAGGGGGCGGGAGGGGGGGGTCCTTGGGGTTCGAACCGGTAGTGACCCCCCCCTGGTTTTCCGGATAGGGGGGGGGCAGGGATTAGGACGAGGGGGGCTTGCCGGGGGAAGGGGGGGGTCCAGCAGGGGTGTGGGGGGGATTTTTGAAGGTGGGGTGACCCCCGAGTTCCGAAGGAAGAGGGGGGGGGGGGGGGGGAATTTTCCACAGTAAAGCGGCGGTGGATCACGCTCTCTCCATCATCACCTTCCTCATCATCCTCCTCCTCCCCCTTCTCATACTCCTCCTCCTCCTCCTCCTCCTCCTCCCCCTCCTCTCCCCTCCTCATCTTCTTCCTCCTCCTCTTCCTCCTCCTCCTCCTCCTCCTCCTCCTCCTCCTCCTCCTCCTCCTCCTCCTCCTACGTCGTGGGGTCGCAGGGCTGGAACTTGTGGAAGGTTTCTTGTGGTCGAGCTCCTACTGCACCCGGACCCCATCTAGGAGGCATCTCAGCGATGCGGATACGCACACCTCCGCTCTCCGCCACCGCGCCGGCGATGCCCCCGCGCTTGCCAGGTGATGGGTGCCGACGGCGACAGGCGCCCCGGGCGAGGGCTGGAGGCTTCGAGCAGTGGCGAAGCGTCCCGGCTTGCCTACAAGCCCACCAAAGAGTGTTCTAAGAACCTCGTGTTGTTAGCACCAAGTGCTCTTATAACAGTTATGGTTGATACCGTCTTGTCTCAAAATACCTGGGCTTCTGTCTAAGAGCATTTCTTGTTTGGAACATCTGTGGGTTCCAAGAACATGTCGCGGTAGGCCTTTAGGAATGCCTGGACAGTCGGCCCCTGCTCAAGGAGGGAAGGGTGGGGCGGGCGGCGGGGGACATGGCCCGCCGCCCAGCCCTCGGCATCCTCAGGGGCAACGTTACTCGGCGGCGAGCCCGGGGGGGAAGCCCCCCGGCCTGCTGATCGACTGGACGTCAGAGTGACCTTTCGCCAGAGTGGCCTTTGGTGCGGGCCCAATGGGGTCCCCCGATCGCTGAACGCGAATCGGTAGAGGCGGCTTGCGCGCCCGGGTTTGGCCCAGCCTGCGTTCCCCGTGAAGTCGCGCACCAACAGGTCAATCTTGCCCAGGGGCCACTCTTGCGTGCAGCCGGTCTGAGAAGTGCTCGAAGCCTTCCCCGAAGACGCAGAAACTTGTCAGAGGGCCAGAGGCCCTCTGATAAGCCCAGCGGCCTTCTGAGAAGGCCCTCCCCTTCTCATTTCCCTCCCCCCCATCGCTCGCCGCCGAATTATGGGAGGGGAACGGGCTCGGGGGGAGCGGCTCGGGAAGCAACGCGGGCCTCTTGCGTTCAGTCGACGAAACAGTGCTAGCATCTCGATCCCCGGTCCTCGAGCTTCCTCCGCAGAGGACTCGCCGTGCGCTGTGGTGGGACGTCTCCTCGGGGGCCAGCTGGCCCGCGCGTCATGGAGGGCCGGCCTCGTTTTCGGGAGCATGAGGCCACGCCTCGTCCTCGACGACGGCTTGGTCGGGGCTTCGCTCGGGTCTCACGGTCGGGGAGTGGTCGAGTCGCGTCAACCGCTCTCCTTAGGCGAGGGAGGAGGAGGAGGAGGACGACGAGGAGGAGGGCTAGGGTGTGGAGGAGGAGGAGGAGGAGGAAGAAAACGAGTAGGAGGAGGAGAGGAGGAGGGGGAGGTGTGGGCGACGAAGTCGCATGAGTGCTGCGCAGCGCGGTCGGCTTGCGCGCGCGCGCAGCAGCTTGTTGAGCAGGTAGGGCATCGACTTGGGGAAGTGAGGCAGCACGTGGACGCGCGCGACACGACGCATCGGGCATGCGTGCCCCCACCGCCGTCCATGTCGTGTATCCCACGCTCGTGCATGATTTCTTGGGGCGTACCTCTCGTCCGTGGTGCTCCCGATGCAGGCTCGTGGCCCCTGCCTCGTCAATATGTGGAGGATCACTGGCGAGTCGCGAATCGGATGCCAACCGCCACATCGGACAGAGAGGTGAGAGAAGGCACGGGCTCGTTTCTTTCGAGGTGGAGTCGTCGCTGTTGGAGGCCTCCCACCCCGCCGCTGCCTGCCTCCACCGTGGTGCTCACAGCGCGAGGCAGCTTAGAGGGTTGCTCGTGTCGTGCGCGCACCCAGGGGCCCACAGAAAGAAAGCCATCAAGAGAATGGCTGCTGATTTCCCCCCCTGGGGTTTTGAAGCGCGAGAGCCCTTGCGGGTCGATTGATTTGGACTGATCTTGCTGCTTTGGACGTTGCGGCCCTCAGGTGCGGGCTCCAAGGCGTCGGCAAGAAGATGGGGGAGGGGGGGGGGGGGGGGGGCAACGCAGGCCTCGCGGGAGGGCCAAGGAAGCGCAGACATATGGACGAGGGCGCGTGCACATGGGCGACGGGCCCCGCACCCGCACCGGACGGGCGCGCTCCATGTCGCCAGCTCGGGCAGCACTGGCGGCATTCTTCGGGGGGGTGCAGTGGAAACCCATGCCAAGGAACACCCTGCTTGCCTGCAGTGTGCCTTGGGTTTCTTCGGTTTCGATGGTCTTGCCATGGTAAACGCGACGCTCCCACGCCAAAAATAGATGGGCTTCCTAGGGTTCCCGGGCTGGGTTTCTTGAGGAAGGTTTCTTGCGGATCGAGGCGTTCATTACGATGCTCCCCGCCCCCACTTCTGCCCCGACCTCTGGGGAAGCACAAACATGGATTCACGGCGCGCGGAATGGCGACAGGGGGCGGGGGAGAGCTTTCCCAATCCGTGGGTCTGGCGCCCATGCGCCAGATCCACGGACCGAGAAAGCCCGAGAAAGTTCTGGGGCTAGCGTGCGTTAGCTCTGGCGCCCAGCTCGCGTCGCGTCGACAAGCGACGACCCCGCCGCCTGCGTCCAACGTTGAACGCCGCCAGCGACCCAGAATCGGGCAAAGCGGAATGATCTGACGTTTCGGAAACGTCCGATCGTTTCAGGTTGAACGCTCCGCGCTGTGTCAGGAGCCAGCGCAAACGACGTTTGCACAAGCTCTCACGCCCAGCTCTGGCGCGAGCGGGTGCCCGAGAAGGGTCGGCACGGCCGGACCGAGGTATAAGATCGAGGTAGGCCAAGGAAGGGTACCCCAGCGTTCTCCGTGTTACTACATACTCCTGTGCATCCTGGGGGAGCACGACCCACGGCTCTGGGGTGGACAACAGTCGCAGGCGATACGTCGTCGTCGTCGTCGCCGTCGTAGTCGTCGCCGCCGTCGTCGGCGTTGTCGCCGCCGCCGTCGCCATCCAGAAAAAGGAAGGCGGAGGAGCAGGAGCAGGAGCAGGACCCCAAAGTCACTGTAGCCCGGAGCCCTCAATCAGCGCCTGTGGAACGGAATATGTGTGTGGCCTGCGCTCGCACCGTTTCCCAGACCACCTGGCAGCATCAGCTTGCGTGGCAAAAACTCGCCCCGTGGTCTCCTGGCCGTGACATCTCTTCGGGCGGGGCTTGGTAGTCCCCATCTCCGTCGGGCGTTTCGATCTCCAGAGATCGTATTCGGGTTGGTTTTCTGCAAGACGTGCGGCGCACTCACAAGACGTTTGCTTCAGTGCTGCGATAAGGTTTGCAAAGCCCAGGAGCGTCTTCACGGGCTAGGCAAGCTCCCCGAGCCCAAGGGCCAGCACACGGCCCAGCCATGGGCCTTCGAGGCAGGGGCGGCAGGGTGGTGGCAGCTCATGGAAGCGTGGCCGTCCTGCGGGCCGCCGCTCGCTAAGTGTTTCGCTCGTCTCACCTTCTTGATCGTCGGAGGAGCTGGAAGAGCGGGAGGAGGAGGAGAAGGAGAAGGAGGAGAACAAAGAGAAAGAGAAAAGAAAGAGAAAGAGAAAGAGGAAGAGGGGAGGAGGACGAGGAGGACGAGGAGGAGGCGAAAGGAGGAGGAGGAAGAGGAGGAGGAGGAGCAGGAGGAGGAGGAGGAGAGGAGGAG